AATATAGTCTGCAGCGATCTCATAGAGATTGCTTTTGTTGTATTTTTTTTGAAATTATTTTCACACAATTTTTTTCCTTGATATTTATTTTATAAATTTGAGATACACATAGTTTATATCATACGTTTATTTATACATATAAATTTGGTATTTATATTGCAAAGCAACATTACGGTTGAGAGCAAAAATTAAAACGGTAAGAATAAAAATTTTTTTCTGGGGAGCATTAATTTATATTTATTACTATTATATTTATTACTATATGAAAGTGCACATAATACGATTAGTAAAAATTAAAAGTGTTGCACAACTTTCTAATTGTAAGAGAATAAAATGAATTATGCCAATTCTAAATGCTCCCGAGCATTAACCACGATATAAACTTTTCATTACAATTTATATGTTCCAATTATTTGAAAAGTTTTATAATTACTATTATTGTACTTAAACGCGCGTAACAATTTTGTCATATCTTTCACATTTTTTCTTGTATTAGAATTAATTAATATATATTTCCTGTATTCAAAAGTAAAAAGGCGAGTAGAGAAAAAGAAGAGTAAACGCGAGATTTCCAGGAATAAGTTTAAAGATGGACAAGGAGTTTACGAACGTTAAACGCATTTATAATGGCGCACAATTCAATTATTCTATTTCTGAAAATTGTCCTGACGACATACGAAAACGGACACACAGTACGTAATATTGACATGTGATTGCCCGTACATGTGTTTTACAAAATGATCCGAGAATTCATCGTCTAATCACTCCGGACAATGATTCGCCTCGGTACAGGAATGTAAGACAACACATTTTACAATATCGTATTGAAATCAGGAAATTACATCTTATTTAATCATCCGTATGTATGTATTGTGTGTATATGTGTATGTATGTACGTATATATATGTGTATATGTGTGTGTGTGTATGTGTGTATGTGTACATATGCATACTTATAAACTTGTCCATTTTTTTCTTATTAGAGTCACTTCCACTTTATAAAATATTAGAACGAATGATCCTCCTTTAACTTAATTAACGACCACCTGTTTGTTCTTGATATACTTCAATGACATCATCATTTTCCATTTCCAGCTGAAATTAATGGTCTTTCTTTCATTAATAACATCTTTAATATTAGTTAATACTTCAAAATATTAATAAATGTGTAACATTGAAATATTGATTATTTATATAAGTAACTATTTATATATGTAGGTGAGTTAATAAATTTATTATTAATTAATTTATACTACTTTGATTTTTGAGGGCAAATTAAGACTGATTGACTTGCCTATTGTGTAATAGAAGATTATTTTGCTAATTTAACATACACATGTATATGTTTCTTAGATAAATTTTAAATCCATCTTTTAAAATATTATAGATATTTAACAAAAATGTACAACAAACATTACTAATACTAATTAAGAAAATAAGATTTTTAGCAAAGTAAGATTTCATTTATTTGTCAATCAATTTCGAACGCGAACTATAAAATTGATTTACCTGCTTTGGTGTTTCATCATCATTGATTCTTTTACCATCAAAAAGAAACCTAAGCGATGTCATAGGTACACCCTAAACAAAATTAGAAATATATCGCGTAAGTAATATATCAATTTAAGGACGGTATTCATATTCGATTCTATTCAAGATCGTCAAAAGTACACTCTTAAGATGTCGAACAATCAGAGGGCTGTATTAATCTTAAGACATTACTTAAGATCTTATGCCCGTATTCATAGTCAGGCCTTATATTTAAGATTCCTTAAATTTATCTTCAGATATTTTATGAATTATTTCATTGGCTGCTGAGTATCTAAAGATAAATTTAAGGAAGCCTTAAGTACATACAAGGTCTTATATTATACGAAATACGGATATTAAAATAAGAATGGATATGAATACCTATTCAAAATAATCGGTTCAGCCATTATTAAAATCTAATAATTTCAGGTCTATTTTTTTCAGCTAAATTTCTTACAATTCATCTTTTCTCTTTTTTTTCTCTCCAAAAAGTTCAGCTGAAGAAACAAGTTTGAAGTGCTTGTAATTTACTGACTTGTATATAGATAAGTGACTCTCGTTGTGTAAACTATTGTAAGTGCCTAAAAGAGAAGATAGAATACAGCTCTCTCATAGGCGCTTACACTATTATTGCTTAGAGATTCTAATCGGAGTTTAACTATAAGAAGAGATCCGATATTTTTCTGTAAAATTGAACGAGTAAGAAAAGATATATTTTATCTTGTTCTACAATTATGCAACATAGAGAAAGACATGTTTAAAGTTATGTAATATTTGACTGAAGCAAATTTGAATAAAAAATATCAAATCAATCAGTTGCTTGATCTCATGGTCAGAAATATTTCCTAGGGTGCTTTCAGAAATTCAAGGGTTATTATTTTATCCTTGTCATTCGCTAAATGTTAAACAATAAATTTCTATAATTGAACTAATGTACATTTTTAGAACTTAAAAGTAATACATATTCGATATTCAACGAAAATAAGAAAAAGCATTCTAATGCTTTAATATAGGAAAAAAAAACAAATCTAAGGGTCTACAATGAGTCGGTATATTCTGTGATCGGTAAGTCAGAAGCGAATCTGAAGGAGAATCGGTGAGTCAAGATTGATCGAAATAATTAGTAAAGTTGGCCAACAGCTAACTTCTAAGATTACAATTACTGACTTATTGTAGACCTAAACTAAGAATAAAATAATATTCAAATGCACTCAAGTGAAGTTTCTGAATGCAGCTCAGGGAATCGATTCTATATCTTGAAATGAAATGAAAATTACAAGGGGAACGAATTTACTAGAATAATTGTAATTTCATTGATAAAAATCTAATAAATTAAAATCTAGTAAATTACAAAAGTTTGCTCACTTTTGTAATTTTCACTGTTTCAAAATATACGGTGCCTTCCAACAAGAGACATACATGGCACAGTAAGACATATTACATTTACATGGCTCAATTACACTAAAGTTCATCGATGTTATAAAATTCTGATGGGTTAAAATCTTTATTCCTTATTCTTTATTTCTTCCATTGCGATTGCACCCTTATTTGAGTAAGATTTTTGTAATTTTTAAATATTGTTTAGAAAATAAATTATTCCAACTTGTAACGTAATTTGCAAAATGTTTTGTATTGGATTACAAAATGTATTTTGTAATGTCCAATTGAATGCAATCAGCCAGCTACATTAATATGTTTTAGTACCGACAGATCTTCTAATCTGGAAGTTAATTCTAAATTCTATAACTGTCTTCCAATGAATGACTAAGTACAATACAGTGATCATCTTATCCTTGTTTAACATCAATGAATAACAAGAATGTAATCGAATATACCAGAATACACAGTTTTTAATAGGTTGAAATCATTACTCCTTATTCCTAATTCTTCATTTTTTCTATTATGGCTGTACTAAGGATTATCAATCCTCAAAATTCTAGCGTTACAACTATGAAGTTATCGAATATGCATCTTATTGTGTACTTTGATAAAACTCCACGTAAAGAACAAAATACGATGTATGCGATCAAAAGATAATAAATGAGGGAACTCACCACACGATCACTGTAGGACTTCTTTAGCTTGCCCATCTGAGTGGTCATCTTTACCCTAAAATGAATCTCGTTGCTATCCTGGAAGAAAAAAATAGATCTAATGTGTCTTGTGCGCGCGCAATAATTGATGTTTCTAGCATGTATCGCTTACATTTCCAACAACTTTGAGCTTGATGTACTCCGAATTCGCGTCGCCTGGGCCGGCTTCGGGTTTTTGTTCCTAGTAGCACACGATAAGGTTAGAACGCTAGTTCATTCAAACTCATGACGAAGTTCGATTCGGAATATCCCGGCGAACTAATTGCCGCCGGCCGCGACCGCAGTCGCGAAAGCGCTGCGGCGAGACCGCGGGGATGCCGATCGCGTATCGGGATGGCTTACCTGATTGTCGGACATCGTTATCAATTAAATTACAACAAACTTCTTCACCACGCGCCAGAAAACGCTAACCAAACACAAGATCACAATATGGCGCCGAGTTTTTGTCAATTTCCACAGTCTAGTCCACTTCTTGTGCTAGGAGCAAACGAAGGACCGTAACGGTCGGCCGTTCACAAACTTATTCAATTTTTTCTCGCGACGCGATGAAGTTAGGTTAGGCTAGTTAAAATTAGGCTAGGTTATTGTATTATATTTAAAATGAAACATGAGGGTGGAGGCTGCAATTCGTAGAGTTTACGAACATTCTTTTAGAGAATTGCGTTTTAGGCAACAGATGGCGCTCATGTCACCCCCCCCTCCTTAAGTCATTAGATTTCAACGCCTAAGGCTATGTTCAGATTCCTACCCGAGTGCCATCCAAGTATCACTCTATTCTTGTTATTTATCGAATGTTAAACAAGAATACATGACATCCGGAGAATACCCAGGTGGAAATCTGAACACGTCTCAAGCTGAAATCAGACTACGCATTGAAAAATGAGATTGAAGATTGAAAGATTGAAGTTTAATCAATCAGAACAAAAGAAGCCAAAATTTCTCTGTCCTCATTGGTGAAATTTCAATCTTTAATCTTTAATCTCAATCTTCAATGCATAGTCTGATTCCGATCTCAGACTAAGTTCGGGAAGACACTATTAAGGTGCCTTTTCATGCTGACGCTTGTCGCATTTGTAGCGTCAACGGGTGCGATCTACACAACACTACAAATGCTTCAAAACTTTTGATTGACCAACCGGAAAAAAGAATTTCATTAATTGACCAATCAAAAAATGCATCGAATCTTTTGTAGCATCAAATGGATGGTATGTAGCCAATGTAGGTTACGTGATCGAAGTTGCTAAAATAGAGATAATGCCTTTTCATGCTGATGCTTATTTTTAGCGCCAAAATAGACGTAATCAAAATTTACGCTTGATATTCGTCAATTTCTATTTAACTTATTTTAACGCCGAAAACGAGCGTCAATATGAAAAGGCACCTTTATGAGACGTTTCATTTGCGAAGTTCTTAGAAACCTAGAACGTTTAGAGAACCTAAATGTGGCATCCGAGAATTTCAATGTAAATCGTAGAAATATTTAGAAATAATCTCTGTGAATGAATCTGTGAATATCCCTAACAGCAAACGTCGATATGTCGACTATAAGTTGATTTTGCTAGTCAAGCCTTTAGAAACCTGTAAGTTGACTTTGTACAGATGTCCTTCCAATATGGACTTTAGGACGTTTAGTGCGATTTACGCACAAAACTTACATGTGGAATTCGTTCTTTTTGTTTAACTATAGTTAAACAAGGATGAATGCTGTTCTTGAGCGTTGTGAACATGAATCGCATCACAGCTTAGAATGGTTAATTTAAAGTCGGCTTATAGTCATCTTTAAAGTGGGACATTATGTGATGTACTTCCTAGTCAGAAATAATAATGGAATCGACATCGAATCGATGTCGATTCGACATCGAAAGTATTAAATCGATGTCGAATCGACGTTGATTCGATGTTGATTTCATTATCATTTCTAACTGAGTTAGAAACGTCTAAAGTCGACTTGTGGACGTCCATTTTTCAGACATCTAGGAGCTATAGTCGACTCAGAGTCGACTTAGAATCGACTTTGTGTTGTTAGAGTATTTTATACATATATGTATGTACATATAGCCGGTCACAGAAAGGTTGCAACACCTTTTTTTCGATTGGTTTCGGAATGCAGCTTGCTCTCACCGAACGATTGATTCTTATTCATGGATCCATAAATAAGAACTCTAATAATCTCAAATAATCGGGTGAGTAGGCTGGGTGAGTAGGCTGCATTCCGAAACCCATCGAAAAAGTGTTGCAACCTTTTTGTAACCGGCTATACATGACTTCACCAACAGTTATATTATTGCTTCCATATTATTATTAAAACGTCTCGAATGAAACTTAATAAGCAACAACACAAAGAGCACCAAATTAATGTAAAAAAATAAGCGACAACACGAAAAAAATATCCGGACGTTCCAGGATTCATACCGAAGTCTAGTCTCCTTCATATTGGTAAACTTACATCCTACAAATGAATTACATACAGTCCTGACGTTGATAGATTCTTTAGAGAGATAAGACCATGACACATAAAAAAACTTAAGCCTTACCAGTAAGCGAATCGACCAATCACAGTCAAGCAATAAGGCAATCATTTTGAAACTTAAGACTTAAAATTTATCGTTGAAAAATTTCGTAAGAATGAAATTCCTACGTCGTATGGCTTATAGTCCTTATGGTTAACCAATCGCATGCGACCTCAAATTTCAAAGCGCGCACTGTCATTTATGTGTTAAATTACGAAAGCATAGCTTATTTTGTGAATTATATTTCAATGTTAATAACGAAGAAAAAATGAGTAATTATTTTTCTCATGAATATTCTTTAGTTAATGATTTAAATGAAGGTAATCAGTTTAATAACAGGTTCAATCTAAAAAATATTCACAAAAATGATGATGAATTATTAATAACAATAAAAGAATATCCGCATTTATATAATTTCTCTAAAAGATTACAAAGATGTATATTCCAATATAAGATTTCGGCAACATTAGACAATGAATAATTTAATCTAATTACATTTAAATTATGTTTAATCTTCTTATGTTTAATTACATTTAATTTAGTTCTTACGTCTAATTTATCTGCAATTGCTGCCCCATATATTTCCATGGATGCAGTAAAAACTAGCTCGTACCTAATTAATATAGATAATAAGAAATAATTCATGCAAACTTATATCCTAAAACATATTTAGAATAAAACCCAAGCGAAAAATTGTAAAGTTTATTTATCAATATAATTTTGGAATGTTTTTTAAAATAGCACTTATCACTGACTAATAACATCCAAGATAAAATTTACGCGTCTAAAATCTTTTATAGACGAAAAATTTAACAGGATGTCTGATTACGGTAACGATTTCTTCAATCGATAAAAGGAAAAGGTTAATCGTTAAAGTATTCGAGACACGTAGACCTGGCGCAATCTCGAAATTATCGAATCGGATTGGTACGACGTAAGGTCTTAAGTTATCTATGTGCCATAGGCAAGCGAATGCCTATAAACAATTGACGACAACAGAAAAAAATATCAGAACGCTCCTCGAGTCGATCCCAGACCTAAATCTCTCCTCCGAGTTGATAGACTTTCTGCACTGAGCCGCAAACGCTAGTAGTTTCTCTATTATCCCTATTTCTTTCCAATAAATTTCTTACATGTCTTTGCGAGTTGAATTCGACCAATGTGACATCATCATATTCTTCTCTTTCTTCGCTCTTAACCATAAACGTACATACCTTATCTGCTAAAAAGCTTCCGAAAAATTAGGTATTATAGTTTCAAAAACGTTTCCACACATATATACGTATGTACAGAAATCTGCAGTAGTGTAATGAATTTATTTGCAGTGTAATGTAATTTATCAATATGTTACAAAGTAAATGTTTTATATGAAATATTTATGGAATATTGTAAAATTGATGTTTCATTATCGCAAATATAGCATTGCTGTAATGTCTTTGAACATCAAACAAAATATTCCAAATCAAAACATTTCTTAGATGTTGCTAAATATTTTTTTTCTAACATCTCAAATTATTGAAATAATAGCTAAGATGTAATGGCATGTGAATGTTACAATTGAAATATTATTTTGAAACATTCATGAAACATTTTATAAACTTTTTTATGTAACATTTCAATTTGTAATATTGTTGCTGAAATGAAACATCCCCTGTATATTATATTATATTATTTATATTTAGTGGATGACAAAAATAAAAATTGAGTGTATATTATTAAATATGTCAAAGGAGCAAATGACAATCCAATCCCTTGAAATAATTTTATTTTATTTTATTTTATCCTTCAAATAACATTTTATTTTAATTCTCAAGCTGTTGACATATTGAAGATAATATTTCTATAACTGTGTTTGAATTTTCATATGCATTTGAATCTAAAGACTTAATCTTGTCCTTATTTGCTTGATATATCGGCAAGCAATTTAGACAAATTTTCATGTGATCAAAAAACATTTCATTAGTATCTTTTACCAAATGTTTTATCTCTGGGTAAAGCTCATCATGACCACACAGATGCGCACTCATCACAAATTCTAGACGTCTCTCACTACATTCTTTCGGATCAAACGACGGTGCTGCGTCTAAAAATGCATCAAAGTTTGTATTGAGCGAAGGTGTTGAAATAAGTAATATGATTTATATGCAATGGCTTAGTTTATATCGTGCATTTGATATGATGGATCCTATGACTCATATTTAGAAAAGCGCACTTTTATCTCTGAAATTCTACAGTATGCGTAACATAAATTATAGCATGTTAGCGTGCTAACATCGATTCTGAATAAGCGTAAGCGCGTTCTGAATACGGGTCTATAACTAGTAATTTTCTATTGAATTACGGTTGTGTTCCAAAATTTATTGCCAATCTATTTACTGCAAATCTATAGTGCACTTAACGCAAACTATAGATTTTATTAGCAATAAATTTTTTAACACAGCCTATATTAATTTTGACAATACGTAAACACATATACATATATGTATTTAATTAATCATTTTAATGCATATTGTATCAATTTACTAATGCATATTGTATCATGTCACATGACGATCTTGCATTATCAGTTTGCGCACAGCATCGATGTTTTCTGGCACAACAACAAATTTTGGACGACCTTCTTTAAATTCGTCTATGAGCGAACAACGGCCACGATTGAATTCACTAAATCAATAACATATAGTGGTTTTAGATGGTGCTTTATCATCAAAAATCGAAGTGAGTTGATCAATGCACTATTGTTGAGATAGTCCACGTCGAAAGTTGCAGTAAATCATCGCACGAAAATTTTCACGAATTAATTCCATTTTTTGATTGAGATGAAATTTTCAAGTCACTATAAACAACACAAGCAAAAATTTTCAAGTCACTATAAACAACACAAGCATCCGTATGACAAAACATTCTGAGTACATATACCGTCAAAAATGTCAAACTTTACAATGGATATGTTACAATGGTATGTTAGATGACACCTAAAAACACCAGTATTGTCAGTTTCGGATACATAAATAGTCTACATATATTGTAACCTTGATATATGTAATAAAACATCTTACAACCTCTACTGGAAAAAATTATATATATGCTTATTGCATGACTGTGTTCGGAAATTTATCCGGGTTCATGAATTATTTATCCTCGTTTAACATTCAATGAACAACAAAGATAAAATAATACATAGATGCACTCGAGTGAAGACAACCTGGATGTCGCGCATTGCGTATCGCGTGTCGCGCATCGCGTTGGTGTGCAAAAGCCATAAGGGTGCTGTCCCAGAGTTGATAACGGAACTCGCGGAATCAATACGACGAATCATAGTCCGCTATTTTCGCTATAATTTCACCGTTATAATTAGCAGAATGAACGAAAGTTAGATAGTCTTGCAATATTATATGCTGTCGATGTATATTACAGCCATTGCGTCCATATAATTGATTACATACTATTTTTTATCTTGTTCATTAATATGGACACAATAACAGAATGCTAATGAGTCGATAATTACAGTAAATATAAATGTATTAATTAACAGCTTACGATTCCGTTTATTTTCTTTCTCTTATATTTTATTAATTGAGCGGTAAACGCGGCAGCGGAATTAAGTTTCAGTCAATCATGAGACAGTTTTACAGTTATATTAAAAATATTTTACTGCTTAGGAAGTTCTAATGTTTACCAGTAATGTTATATAGATTGTTATATTTATTAAAATATTATTTATTATTATAAGTATTGTAAATAACATAAAAAATATGATTTTTATTATTCTGCACGTTCCGTTTATTCCATTAAGACTGTGGTCAAAATCGCGCTACAAATGCTTGATGAACCAATTAGAAGAAAGAATTTTATAAACTGACCAATTAAAAAAACGCTTCAAAGCGTTTGCAGCATCGCGTTGACCGTACTTTAAATGGGACATGAAGGATTTAGGAAAAGCGTAAGAAAACAGAACAGAATGTCTGTGATTCGTCGTGTGTGATTTGTCGCGAGTTCCGTTGCCAATTTCCGCTCTATGAGACGGCCCTTTTGAACAATCTATAGACAGAGAGGGTAAAGATTTAAAAAGAGACGCTCCAACTGCACTCTGTGTTATCCTTCCATCATGGACTATAACTTACTTGTTATATGACTACCAGTCATTTTGGAGAATCTATATTATCAATTTTGTTTTTACTTGTATTTGTCTCTATGTTGTCACTTTTTTAGTTTATATCTAAAACAAAAAACGATTTATATATTATAGTAATACGAATTCAATTCATCTAAGACTGAAGTCCATGGAGTATAGGGCTGCCGCACACAAAATTCTGTAACAGTATATGTAAGGTGTACGAAGGGGTAACTAAAGTCAATGAACCAATCAGAATACTACTTTAGATTACGTAATCTAATAGAAATAAAAATAAAGTAAACTCCATAACTTCGTAATAAGATGAATTTTAACCGATTGAAACTCGCCTTATGGATAAGTTTATTATATAGTTATTCTATTTCCGTTGGAGTACGTAGATCTAAAGCAATATTCTGATTGGCTCTGATCTCATCAGTTTCACGTCTTAAAATTACTGTTACAGAAATTTTGTGTACGGCAGCGTAACCCTTTTCGCGTAACCAATTAATAATCAGTAAGGGACTCCGCACAGTAAAAGGAACTCTTAAACGCGAAACCACAACAGCGAACCTCTTTTGATTTTGATTGGTTATGCCTAATGCACACTGGACGCGATGAGCGATGAACGACGAGCGATCCAACAAAAGCTCTGCTTTTTCTCACGTGATGACACAAAGCAAAGCTCTCATTAAATATCGCTCATCGCTTATCGCTTATTGCATTATTCAGGCATTATGCCTCCGGCACACTAGCGCGATGTTCAATGAATATATATCTTTATCAATATTCTCATTCTAAAGATATATACTGTTATTGGATATTGCATGTCGTGCGCGACTAACATTGCGCTGGTGTGTCGGAGCTATTACGCGATTACGCAATACGCGGTAAATACACCTTATAGGACTCCAGCCTAATCGCTTTTGCACACTGGACGCTTGCCGCATGAGAACATGTGACGCGTATTCAATAAATAGAATCGATATCAATGTCGAATCAATGTCGAAATCAAATTGACATCGAATCGATGTCGATTCGATTGTCTAAATCTGATTATAGGTTAGGTTATTATTTGGGTTATATAGATAACATGCTCCTGCCATAGTTCCTACTAATAATAAGTGCATTGGAATAGAAGCTATGGTAGGAACATGTTGAAGCATGTGGAGTATACGATCAGGGCCATCAATCTCCCCTTTTGTTCCGAACGTTACCATACCATAATAAACGCAACCATATGCTTATATGGTAATGTTGGCCGGAAACGATTTCCATATGATAACCATATTAAATATTAGTTCTTCATTTCCTGTGTCATAGCTATCGAGAGATCGCTACAAATGCTGGTAACGGAAAAAAACCATGGCAGTTTGGTGGCCTTGTATACAACGCAAACAAACCTCATGAATACCGGCCATAGTACGATATCGTATATATGTAGTAGTACATACGCGGTTAAATAACTGAACTAGGGATGCGTTACATGTTATGCCTCCGGCACACCAGCGCGATGTTTGTCGTGCGCGACACATATCCAAGTATACAGCTTTACCGATGTTTTCATTCATTCAAAGATATATTCTCATTGGATATCATCATTGGATATCGCGTGTCTCTCGCAACAAATATTGCGCTGGTATGCCAAAGCTATAAGTCGCAGATATGTTATTAGTAGCTTACAAGAAGACTGACTTGATCAGGAGATCGATTCTGTATCTTGAAACAAGGTAAAAATTACGAAAGTAAAAGAGCGAATTTATTAGAATATTAATAATTTCAATAATTTTGGTCAACATCTAGTAAATTTATTCACTTTTGTAATTTTCACCTTGTTTGAAGATATAAAATCGACCTCTAGGATATCGATTTTCTAACTTTTATCATGATAAAAATGTGAGCCATTTTATGTGATTCTCTATTTTCATAGTCCAATTGCAATCTTACGGAAGTTCGTTTGGCAAGAAATTTCTTAATGAATGATCCGAGAAAGACTGAGAAATAGAGCGAGAGAGGAATCACAGCCGACTGAACCGACTGAATTAACAATTTTTAAATTTTAAATATATAATTTTGTACAGTCCAAAGATAAAAGTAAAATCAAATGGCAATATACATGGCAGTAAAATTTGGTCACTGGATAAATAGGATAAAAAGTCTTTGAACCACATATGAGAATTACACGAAGAATGCTTAGAGATATTTATTTTCAATAGGATTGACTTTATAAATAATGGCAGAAAATCGTTTTAGGTCCAGTTCCATGGTTCCACAACTCACGGTTTATTACTTTTAACCATTTTTAATCGAAGTCCGACTTACTCGTCATCTATTTTCAATTCTAGAATTGAAAAAAAAGGAATAAATTGAACTTTACAGCTGTGGTCCAATTCATGCTGACAACGTTCATGAGCAGCGTTTGTCTTCGTTTAACATTTGAGAAACAACAAGAATGAAATGGTTTTTAATCTTTATGAACATGAATTGACCGCGGTTCACTTCACATTTTCACGTTTTTCCTCACAAATCTAGTAATCAGCAAATCTAGTAATTTCATATTTTGACTTCGTCGTTACAAAATCACGCGGACAAACTGTGAGATGTGAGATGAAAGTGCGAAAAGTGAGTGATCTCACTCAAATTACAGAATCGACTCCCAGAACTAGAGGAATCTTTACTATTATAAAAATGATGGAAAGTAAATATCCGATGAATTTTAACCATAACATAACATTTTCGAATATCAAAAATATACGTGAGGATGAAAGAAACTGATCAGAGATATGTGAGTGCGAATGACTCACGAATCTGTTTAGAGATGAGTCATAAGCATAGAGTATAGGAAACTTAGTTTTGAAAAGTATATTATATTACTGAGCTGAGAAGGTTATAATCGTTACGGTTATTACAGCTTCTAAGCTGCTGGAAATCTTGTAGTTTCGTATTTATGTATTTCCGCACTTCGAAATTTTATCATAAGACTAAGAGACGAAAAGAAGGATATAAAAAAACTGAAATATTATATATTAACGAACAAATTTATAAAATGTCTTGTTGCGGTAAATTGTATCAATAAATCAGAAAAAGGTATTCGATTATTTAAATTTCTTGCGGATAATATTCGTCAACAACTTACTGTATTGCTGTAAAACAAATACATGACTTGTGAATAAACATCACTTCCTCGTAGATGAGAAATTTCAATCTTTTTCTTCAAATTGACATATATATTTGGTACTTTATCTAGAAATAATCTGAACGCCAGACACTCTTCAGATCCTGTACTAATATTAAAATAGATATTCAACTGATTTTGAGAGCAAAAATGAAATAAAAGGAGCTACAAAATTCAAGCAGCAAATACAAATCATAATCTGTAATGATCATCCGTCACAGCTCAGTGATGGAATGGAGACAGAGAAAGGAGTGGGAAAAGGAATAAAAATGGTGGACGAAGTTTTACTTGTTTCTAGTGCTTTAAAAAGTATTTCTAATAAAATTTCATTTTATTTAATGAAATAATTTTAATCAAATCTTATAGGAATTTTGTAAATCTTATAAAACCTGATAAAACACGAGAGAATTCATATTCGATATCAATCATGATGCTCACGTGGTTGACGATAGAAAATAACATAAACTTATAGAAAATTATACAAATTGATAGAAATCTTATTATCGTTTTCAATTGTTTTCTATCAACTTTTTTTATCAGAGTTCTGTCCTGTGTTCAGATGAAAAAATGAACAAGAGAATAAAATGATTAGGAATACCTTCGATTTGCAAAATCAAATGGAAACAAAAGATTATGTTTTATATTTATATTAATTACTATTAAGAATTAAATGAAATATACGATTATTTTATCATACCGTTTTACGCATACCGTATACGTTACATCTAATTATACTTTAATTTCTCTATAATATACTTACCAGATCGTAATCGACGAAGCCAACGACACGTGCAAGACTGTTGAAGACAGTGCAAGAAATGCTAGAACCTTTGCCCTTTTATGCCCTATTGTACAACTTAGTCACGGGTCTAGTTTCCACCGAAGGTTTAAACTGGATCAGAATGTAAGAACTTACCAATTACAGTTGAGCATTCCCCTCTTGTTCGACTATAACAGGGGAATACTCGACTATAGTTGATAAGTTCTTACATTCTAATCCGATTTAAATCCTCGGTGAAAATTAGGCCACAGAAAGGTAATTAATTAATAGCACTAATGTAGCACTTACACGCAACTGGTGTAGTGCGAGGTTACATTGCATCTCAAAAGAAAATGTTATTAGTTTAGCGGCGGAGTGGGGAGGGAAAAAGAGAAAGAGAGAGAGAGAGAGAGAGAGAGCGAGAGAGAGAGAGCAAAGAATTGAGGAAAGAAGCAAGAAAGTGAGAAAAAGACTAAAAATGGCGAATACCTATATTATATTAGGTGTAGTAAAAAGAAATCCATTATTTTTCCATTCAATTTCATGCAAAAATAATGGATTTTTTTTTACTACACCTAATAGTAGTTTTAGCTGTCCTCTTTCAGATTTCTCTTAGAGCCATTCCATACAAACTTGCATAGCTGCATAAACATGTGCATAAAGAAAATCATCCAATCATATTTTATATTTGTCTTTATGATAGAAATTGGATAATTTTTTGTATGCATATAGTTATGTGGCTATGCAAGTTTGTGTGGAATGGTCCTTATGGCACATTCGGTATGCATTGACACGGTTTTAGTGGTATTTATTCACGATGTCCACATAATTTTGTTTTGGTTTTTCTTCTTTTATTACACATCTTCTATTTCATTGTTACTACTTGTTTCAAATAATTTATTTATAAATAATTTTAATCTTCCTTTATCATTTTGTAATATTTTGCTACTTAACTAATATTGTTTGTTCGAACTACACTGACAAAAATGTCAGTGTGACATTTTTTTAACTCGTCCGTTCATTCAATTCAAATATAAATTCAGCACCACACTGGATCAGTTTTCATTTGCCGAATATGACTTGAATGCACTGATGTACGCACAACAATGTGTAGCACCGAAAAGTTCGCGCTCAGTGCGCACTAGTGCAGTCTATCGAATGCGTCATTTCTTTTTCAGTTTTATATTCTATGTTTAAACTCCTTTGTAGGTTATGTATCGAAAGTTTATTTTATAGGTTATATTATTTAAAATATTATCTAAACAAATTGTAAAAAAAACGATATGGTATGTATAATAAATATTTGTTTTCAGGTTTTTTGGGTTATTAAATTATTTTGCATATGAATGCAAAACTCATGAATAGAAAAATTAATTAATAAGAAGTGTCAAGAGACAGTAGTCGATAATTTATTTATAATTTTTATTTATAAATAGAATAATCGACTTTTTCAGTAAAGCTAATAAAACGGAACGATTGCGATGAAGCCATTTTCTCCTTAATGCATTTAAACGTCAAAAATTATGTCTCTAAGTGACAAGACAAATGTTACGACTACAGAGAGGGACGACAGAAAGAGCATACGAAAGCAGAAACGTGCTCATCACAGATTGCTCCGAGATATGAACATTAAATGTACCGAGCAGCCTACGCAGGTAAATGTGTGCTTATTCTAAACTAGAATGTGGAATTTGTTTTAACTATTTTTAAGCTTGATATTTTTTGCAGCACTTGATGATATGCAATGGTGGTCTAGTTACTGGCATCAAAAGAGAGACATTGCAATGTGTATTAGATCCTCTGATCTCTAAGTATACTTTGATAATGCCAACAAGCAAGTCATATTGCTTTGTAACGTGCAGCTCAAAGGAGGATGCAACATGTGTATACAACTATATTCATGGACGCATTAAGCTTCCGGGTCAGAATGGTCCATTATATGTATGCTACACTGAAACAGGTATACTGTTATAATAAAACTATATAATTCCAATTTTAATTTAGAATTCTTTCTTATGTAACAATGTAATGTTCTATTTTTAGTTTCTATCATAGATTATGTTGTGCCCGATCCTGCATTCCCCTCTGGTCTTACTTTAATGGAGAATTTCATAACAGAAGAACAAGAGAAAATTTTGTTAGAAACGCTCAATTGGGACAAATGTAAGAATGTGATAGATTTGCAGTCAATTAATTGGGATGAACATGGTAAAATAGATTTGCAATATATAATTCAATAATGTAATTAAGAAGATAATTTAAAGAAGAGTTTTTCTCGTTTTAGCTAGTACTTTAGCAACTGTCTGGTCGCAACTGAAATACAGAGATGTAAAACATTTTGGGTATGAGTTCGAATATGACACAAACCTAGTAAATCCTGACAAACCTATCGAGCCAATTCCTCAGGAATACAAATTTTTGCAAACTTTATTTGACAAGCATGGTCATAAGTATGCTTATGATCAGTTGACTATCAACAGATATCTACCTGGACAAGGTCTTGATATTCATACAATTTCATAAAATTGTTTCTTTTAAAAAAATTGTTTAACAAAGTAAAGATTTTTCAATTAAACATTTCAGTTTCTTATTATATTAATTACATTATAATATTGACATTATATGATTTATAAATTTGTAAATTGTATAAATTTAATATATTTTAATCGTAAAATTAAATACAATTGAATTAATAATTTGGATCATTAAATTCAAATCATATATTATATTGTATAAACTAAGATCATATATTGTAATATATGATCTTATTCAGGTATACCACCGCACATTGACACACATAGCGTCTTCGAAGACACTATATTATCTCTATCATTGGGATCCACATGGGTCATGAACTTCAAGAAAGAAGATAAAAAAATCGATGTTCTCCTGCCAGCCAGATCTTTATTGATTATGACAGGAGAAGCGAGATATGCATGGACACATGGCATCTGTCCACGTTACAGTGATGTTATCAAGACAGAAAATGGACCTACATCGCAGGAACGTGGTATCAGAGTATCTTTCACCTTCAGAAAAGTACGACATGGTGAATGTTACTGTGACTTCAAAAACTACTGTGATACTGCGAAACGTGAAACTTTCATTGACGACAAGACGGCATCGGGATTGGAAAGTTCATATGTACATAAGGTGTGTAGACTCGAACGATGTGAGAATGTTTTGTTTCTTACGATTACTGAAATTGTGCTCTTACAGGTTTATGAGGAAATATGTAATCACTTTAGCGAGACGCGACATAAACAATGGCCCAATGTAACAAAATTCCTTGAAAGTTTAGAAGAAGGCACATTGCTTTTGGATGTGGGTTGCGGGAATGGCAAATATCTTCGTGGAAATCAGAATGTATATAAGGTACTTTCTTATTATTTCATTAATAGTAGCTTTTTTTAATTAATAGGAATTAATTAAAATTCAAAGTATCAATAATAGAAAGTCGTTAAGAATTGGCGTGATAAATGGAATGATAAACGGAGTGTAGTTACATTTATACAATTATTTTAATTAAATTACAATTGTGTTTACAAACCGTAATATATTTCGACTCTAATTCGATTCATTCTCAGTAATATTATAATTAATATACAAAATTAACGATAGTTTCACATCTTGATAAAAAAATGCAAATGTTTAGATGTTTAATGAAGTTGAGTGTCACTTTTTTTACCATAGCTGAATACAAACTTTTTTTTATTAAGATACGGAACTATCATTAATTTTGTATATTAATCGTTGATATTGATGAGGATGGCTCGAATTGGAATCGAAACAGTTTGTAAATCGAATGTAGTCTGATTATGATATATATTAAAACAATTATATAAATGTGATTGCGCTCTGTTTACTACGCCGACTCCTAACTCTTTTTATTGAGGTTTGTTAAGACAGAAATTTTTTGTTACATTATTACTTTAATTTTATTGTTGATACTTAATTAATAGGACTATATAATTAGGTATAAAAAAAGTTGAATACGCTGACATTTAGTTTGTTTACATTATACCCTTTCAAGCAGAGGCGTTACTAATCTCGAGAATTATCTTAGATGGGATGTGATCATAGCTCTGGATTGATGGGTATATGTCGCAAACGAAGCTTCGAGGTTCTTCAGTGTAATTGTCTATATTTACCGTACAAAAATGATTCCGTGGATGCTATAATCAGTATTGCAGTTATTCATCATTTATCCACTGAGGAACGAAGACTACGAGCTATCTCCGAGATAGTTCGAGTGCTGAGACCAAAAGGAAGATGTTTGATTTATGTGTGGGCAATGGAGCAATGCAGAAATTCCCAGGATTCGCTCTATTTAAAGTCTGGCAAAAAAAGCAAGGAATCTGAGAAAATCAATCAGAGCAAAATCAATCATGAGAGAATTTCCGAGTGTAATTTAACGTTACCGATTCACGAAAATAGGATGGTCTTCCCTCAGAGCGACATGCTAGTTCCTTGGACCAAGAGGAGCGGTGAACATTTTCTGAGATATTATCATGTATTTCGCGATGGCGAGCTCGCGAGATTGTGCACAAAAATATCATTGGCCTCGATTAAGGAGGTGTATTATGATCAAGGTAATTGGTGTGTGATTTTGGAGAAATGTACAAAGATTATAGAATAAAAATTAGATTGAGATAATTAATCCTCCAAAATTATATATTTTTAAATCTAATCGCTATCTATTAAATCCACTAAGTCTATTTCTTTTCTTTCTGAAGATGGTGATTTGACGAGAATTTCATCGTCTGAATCAGAATTAAATGTACTGACTTCTTCTTTCTTAATTGAATTCTGCAAGAACATTAAAAAATTATTGCAATTAATTATCAATTTGAAAACAAATTGAAAAAATTATTATAATATTATAATAAATATGTTCTTTCTCTGTACTTACGTCGGGAATGGATATTAATTCAGCAGATCCTTCTTCATATTTTATAATACGACTCTTTTCTTCATTTTCCACTTCCATGAAATCTATAAAATTGTATATATACATATATAATTATATTTCGTATATTAAATAAAATAAAATAAATTTTTAATTATTAATTTTAATTCAATGTAATGAAAGCTAATTCTAATTCTAATTAAATATGATTATAAAAAATTAAAATTTATTAAAATTTACTTCAATTTATAATAAAATTAATCTGATTTAAATAAATTTAATCTTAACACACATGCATGTATAAAAAATAAATTGGATGAAATATATACCTTCGATTATAGCTGTTGCGTCCCATTTACGTAATTTAATGCTAATGTGATCGCCAATCGTTGTCGTTAATTTATTCACTTGTATGCTTTCTTTAAATCTAGATATGTTACTGTCATCTTTTTTATATCTATAATAAAATATCTATTTAATAGTTTTAATTTTCTTCTATATTATAAAATAATCAGAGAATTTCTTCTCTAATTAATATTTCAAATTAAATTGTACGTGAATAAAAAAGTTAATGTCTGTCATTTAGATTATTTATTATATTTTATATTCGTAAAAATTATTTTAAAATTAAATTAATATACAATATAAATAAGCTATTACTTTCAGAACAATGTAAAATCATACCTTGACTGCACATCCTTGATTACTGCCTCCTTGATCTGCTGCACCAATTTTGTTGCATAATTAGCTGCATCATTAGAAACAGCGGATATGACATCTTTGACAATCATAGTTTTTGTTAAATAATCGAAATGCAAGCTACAAAGTTCTCTATAAGAGTTCACGCCAAGAGTAAGTTCTGCGACACCAACTTTTTCTTCTATGTAAGTGGGATCCATTATAGTGTTGCCACTGTGCAATTCATAGATTTTATTATTTGCGTGTATAGTTCAGAAATTGTTAAATTTTATTGGTAGATTTTTTAAGTAGGAAGGAATTTTTTATCTTATATAAAATTCAACAAATAATTTCTGTTCCATCAACCAACCTCTTAAAAGTTATAAAAGATATGCAGATCGGATAGTGGAACAATGTCAATGGTAGAAAATCTTTCTCGGAAGCCGAATGTATGATAATTTCCTCACCGGTAGATGTGACATCTGGCCTATGAAAATGCATAAGAGCAGCGAGTGTCGCTATTGAAGCACAATCCACAAGATTCCCATCATGATTTATGATATTAATGTCAATTCTCAAATTCCATACCTGAATAAAAACCATGTAAGTCATAACATAACAAATGTTACACAATATTTAATAGGTGCTTTCCAAAAGAATACACAAATGACACAATATAACATTTCATTTCTGTTTAACATTGACAAACAACAAATATATAATAATTATTCACTATTACATTATACTTATATTGTGTTATCTGTATTTTTTGTTGATTAGTACCTAATATCAAACATTCTAGTAACCTTCTTATCTGCTACTATACAAAGAGATTCTAAATCCACACATTTTGAATCTTTAAAACATTTCTCCAGCTGCCTATTGATCAGTATAGCTGCTTCAGACTGTCTACCTCCTTCAAAATGTTGTGCTGCTAAAGGAGCAAGCTCAACATTTATGCGTATCATGCCTTCATTAGGACGAGATGTTTTTGGCTGTTGTATATCACATGATACTTGTGCTATGGCTCTGCAAAAACATTTTTTTTCAATACTTTATATATTCATTAAAAATAATCCGTATATATTATTACGTAAAATTTACTTTGTGTGTCCAAGAGACACCATACAACATCCCCAATTAGAGCTAAAATAGATTTTTACTGAACGTGGTTCTAATAATTTTCGACCATCTAATCTCTGAAATATGATAGATTTATTATAAAATTTTATTATTGCATATGCATGACACAAAATGTTTGTTTCAAAATTTATATCCATAATTATAAAATAATAAATAATATATTTTTTAAATATATTTATTATTTAATTATGGATAAATGATACATTAATTTGATGATTGATTAATGATACTTTAAATGATACATTAATTATAAATTATAACAATATGCATACACTATAATTTTTAAAAATTATGAGAATTATTGTCTAATAAATTTACAGAAAAAGTACTTACCGTTTCCTCTTCTATACATTTGTTTATAAAATTTCGTTCACAGTTTGAGACAGGAATTTCCTTCATCTTTTAAAAATTATCAAGGAAAGATTAAAACTAATATTACTTTTATGCGTGACAAATAATTTGCACCTTGAAATTTGTTTATGATCCATAAATAAATTATAACCTATAAACAATCCGTACACGTCGTTGGAATAAAATATATATGGAGTAAAATACTTCGATTACAAAGTTACTAGATTGACGACCAATCATAATGATTGATGTTTGGAATTTTTCTAGAAACTCTAGATACTCCCATGTGACTGTTTGACTTCCGATTTTATTTCCATCGAGTTCCGGAAGTGTTCCGGTGGATGTCGCGGAACTTTGTGGAACGCAATCTTATCCTTAGTATTGCATTCTTGTCTGATAACGTGGATTGTTTTTACGTCTGAAAATAAACACGATTGCGTTCTCGTTGGCTCTTCCACGCTTGCTTGTGTTTGAGAGACGAGATTATCACATGATTGAATGCGTACAAGGAGATGAAGTGAATGATCAACAGTAACTTTGAAGTTCGAGGAAAAGCTTCCACGGAGAGGAGAGCATTTTGAAATCGCTTGAAATCAACTATTAAAGCTTCTTGCGCTCTAAGAAAGCACCTTCTACTTAGACTTTATAAAAAAATTGTGATCCTGAATATTAGATCGAAAGTCCATTTGGAAGGGGGGAGGAGGGGCAATAAAGAAGACGCGCGCTTACGCGGAAGATGTCGATCGTCTTGAGGATTGTAAGAAAGTGAGCGACTCGATCAGCACATCGTCAAGTTTATTGTATAGGTACTGTGACCTTCAGGTCAAATAATCATTGGGCACAAAAGTAGAAGAGGAAAGTAACAACTTCAATACTCGAAGACCTCATATAATTAGAAAAGAGAAAGATCGACGTGAGGAAAAGACTTTATTCCTTTGATGCTCTGCACGAAATCTATTTCCAGCTAGTATATACGACATTGTGGAAAGAGAAAAACTTGTCGCGAATCTTCCTCGCGCGAGATGACCGGCAATTCTTTTCCGAGAAAGTCACCAGGGTGATCCAGTCGCTAATATTGTATCACAAACACGAGAATTCTTGAAAGAACGAATTGGAATCTTGTTTAGGATAGATAAATAGACAGGTAGGTGAGTGGTTGCGATCTCGCATGGAGATTAGGTGGGTGCTCTTGAGGTTAGGAATGACGGCAGCGCGTGGCGAAGCTTCATCGAAGAGGAACGCCTCGTAGTTTGCCAAGTCTCTGATTGCTTTCGTAATTGCTTTTCGCACCGCAATGTCTAGGTACACAACACTGAGAATGATGGACGCAGGAATGTACACGTTCAAACCGTTTGTATTTACCAAGCCCGAAGTGAAGGGGATAGAGCAGCCGAAGGCCCGAAGCGGCCACCGGATTGCTTGTGATCATCGGAATCTGTACTCATACGGCGGCTTCAATCCATGTGTATCTGATACCGACCCTGATATGCGTGATGATCAGATGTGGAGTGCTAGCAAACCATTGTTTAAGGAACTATGGCGTTTCAACTTTGTTAGCAAGCGGTGGTCCCGGCTACCTGGCCAGGAAAATATGCCGAATGAGCTGGCATCGAATGCAGTGATACTGTGTGGCAATACGCTGATGGTGTATGGTGGCACCGGTGTACCATTCGGCGAGAGCTGCAGCAATCAGCTATATGTCTGCAATGTGGATGACGGCGCTATCAATGCCGTGCCAGCCATAGGCGAGTTACCTGAACCTCAGTATGGGCAGGTATAATCATTTTTGTCCTTATCATTTGAATTTCTATCTTCTGAGGAACACGGTATCAAGATTTGTTTATCTAGTCGTGTACTCTGATTTGTAATTTTTGTTTCATATTGGAATAATATTGTTTCTATTAAAAATTGTCATGCATAAATAGGAAAACTTGAGAACAGAGCTTAAATTGTTTGTTTAATGGTTTAACTATTGATTGGCAAACCATTAATTTTGTTCAATAAGAGATAACTACCATGGAACTAGTCAATATCCTAACAAGAAATTGATTAAAGTAATAAAAATGAAAAAAAAAGATTTATCAAAAACTAAATATGAATCTCGGATTTTATGATAAAAATCTCAAGACTCTCTGATCTATACTGTTTTGTCTATATTATTATTTTTTTTATTACTTATATATGTAATAAACTTTTACTTATATAATAACTTGTATAATAGTAAGATTATTTATTTTTTATTTATTTTTCTGGATAGGCACTAGTATGCCATGGTTCCTATCTCTATACAGTCGGTGGCACTACTGGTTATGAATATACTTGCGACATTCATCGCTTCGATCTGAGAAGAGGCGTCTGGGAGGTAGTATATATTTGCTCAGGCAAGGATGAGTCAGAACCGCATGGCAGATACAGACATGAGCTTGCTTTTGATGGCAAGATGATCTATGTTTTGGGTGGTGGTACTTCGACAGAATCATATGGTTTCTTGGTGAGTGAATAAACGTGTAAAGCTTCTCTTAAAAAATATAAAGTAATATTGCCTTTATATATATATATATGTTATGATAAAAATATAAAATTTAGTAACTGTATGAATTAATTAATGTATGCATTTATGTAAGGAATTTTAGCAAAAGTATTAATTAAGTATAAAAATATCTATTATTTTTCTATATTTATAATAAATGTATTGATTTATTAGATAAGCATTTCCTACAACAAATTAATAAAAGCATAATATTGTGAGTCTGTAAAAGTATACATTTTAATATATGTATTTAATAAGTGTATATGCAATTCTAAATTTTATGCTTTTATTGTGACATATATATTAATGTAATATGTGTTGAGATGCATATATATTAAATACATATATAATTATTAATAAATTTTTTAAATTATTAATAAATTAATTTTTTGTAAAAGTATTAAAAAATATGCAATAATTTTAATTTTCTCGTGTAATGTTTTGAATAAATTTTTTCAGGAAATACCGGCATTTGATTTAAAGACTAATAGTTGGAAGATTTTGAACACACATGGCGAAACTGAAGAGACTATGGTACCGGCACCACGACGTTGTCACGGTTCTGTGCAATATATAGATGAGAAGAATGGTGTTACTTCGGTTGTCATATCAGGCGGTTACAATGGCGACCGAGTGTTTAATGATGTTTGGCGACTTAATCTTAGCACACTGCGATGGACACGCTTGCGAGAATGCATCTTACCATGTCCAGTGTACTTTCATTCGGCCGCGCTGACTCCGGAAGGTCGCATGTACATATTCGGTGGTATAGTCAAAATGAACAACAAGGTTATTATCGTATTCTAAATAGCGTTCTACAAATGTTTTTTATTCAATGCACTTTCTTTTACTTGTAATCACGATTTGAATATTTTCATCATTACAGGTGAAAAGAACAAACGCGGTTTACTCTGCTTGGCTAACAATTCCCAAATTATCCGAAATCTGCTGGGAAGCATTGAATTATTATTGGGAGGATTTGAAAGACGCTTCACCGGACGAGTTGCTTAGCATGGGAATACCATTAAAATTCGTACAAAGACTTGAATTCTGCGACTGGTGAACGATTAGTTTCCTCGATATCTTCAAATTCTCAAATCAGATGTTTTTTATGCTATACGCACTTTAAAATGTTCGGCCATTCGCTTCGATCAGTCGATATTTAGATTTATATAGAGGTGGTTCAACTTCTGAAATTTTTGATTTTTCGAGAAATGATGAAGTGCTGAATTCTTGTATCTCTTGTAACAATAGAGAAGTTCCTCCTGTTATAGAATGATTCGAGACGCACTGTGGTTATAAAATAATGGGATGTTTTCCAACAACGTACATAGGTAACGCAGTGTAACACTGCCTTACACAGTGTTTCAACTATAACACAGTGTTACACTGCTCGACAGTAAAAAGCTAAATACGAATTTGTAAAATATGTCAATGTTACTACCATGTTGTGTACTTATTTTGCAATAAAACTTTCCAAAATCACCAATTCTGAAAAAATTATAACTTAAGTTTAAATAAAAATCATAAATTTATTATTGATACGCTAAATATAATTATAAGAATAGAATAGAAGACTGCATTCGAACAAGTACTTTTACACAGTGGAAACGTCCTAGCTGGAAAATGGCCATGGAGAGTTGGATGTGCATGCTCGAAGCTGTATTTTTTACTAAAAAGGGATTAAGTTTTTAAAAATTGTAAAGCAGAGCTGTGTTTACAAACTCAAATTGATGATAACATGCTTTTCAAATCTTAAGTATATAAATTGTGTGCAGAAGTCAGAAATGGCTAAGAAAAGGTAGGTGATCTTCACGAGCAGTGACTGCAACATTAGTCCAAAGATTTTTTCTTAACTGACCAATGATTTCTGATTTCTAAATTAGGATCGAAAATTAGTATCATAGTTTTATCGAATCACTGGAGTATCAAAGACTTCTATTCTACAGACATAATATTGTCACCAAAATGACAAAAGTGTCAGCATGTAAAAGAAAAATATTTGAAAAGAATGATCTAAATTAGGACTAAGTAATACATATAATTTTATCGCTATTACTAAAATTCCTGACGGAAGTTGAACCATCCTTATAACTTTTGATGCAACTTTTTTTATTATTTTAATAATGTAAATGGTAAAGTAATTTCACATTATACATTACTATTTATTATATTTGTGACAGCTGTAACTTAATAGCGCAAACTATTGCCAAAATACCAGATCTTTCTTACATTTGCGATTCTGTCAATCTGACAATTAACTTTAAATTACTAAATATGTATGTATTTTCCTAATATTAACTGCAATTGACACATCTCTGTCTAAAACAAATTGTACAAATATAATAAGAATAGTTTAAAAGAATAATATATAAAAAGTTAAATAAATTTAAGGATATGATTCATCATTTACATATTTAATGTTATGTACAGTATATTCATTCTGCCTTTATTCTAATGATATATAGTATTATATATATTTTATCTGTTTTTTTAAGGATGTTAGAATTAGAGATCATCGACGATTCACTGCGCGGCGATGAAATTTTTCTGAATATTTAAATATGTCAAGTGCAAATAATATCGAAGAATGCATGGGTCTGTTCTTTTTAGTTTGAACTTCTTGCATTTCCTCTTTTTTTCTAATGAGATGATTTCTTGGAAAGAAAAAAAAGAAATAGATAGTGCAACAAGTTTCAGTTAAAAAAAATAGACCTATATAGTATTACTAATTGTGTGTTTTGTCTCAAAAAGGTTGTTAAATATATTTGTCCGCAGTGCCTATTAATTACAGCGATGCTCGTTAAACTGCTCATTTGATAAATAAAAAATTTTAAGGATGTCCCTTGATTGTAATATTAATAATTTTCATTATTCTTTTCCTTCGTGCGTATATTTTAAATTAAAAAGAAACATATTTTGAGTATAAAATTCCATAAATATTTTATACTTCATGTCATATGTATTTATAATGATTTAATCCTTATTCGTCTTATTTTTTTCTATGTATATCCGAGATATTAGTTTCATATTTTTAACTCTTTTTTTTTTAAATAGGTGTTTATGCATTTTTTTAATCACTTTTCTTTTTAAGTCTTTTAAGTCTTTTTGAATACATCTGATTGAATATATGTGTTATCTATTAATGCCCCTAATGTAACTTCAGATTGCTCGAATATAGGATTAAATTTCATGATTCTTTAATCATTCTAAGCAGTGTATCATGCATCGTAATTATGCAATAGATCCGATCCTCAGCGCTATTTACTTAAGGTATTAGCTGTACATTAACTAATGTCTGTTAAAAGAAAAAAAAGATTGTAAATACAAAAATGGAAAAGAGAGGAAAAATCGATTCTACTGATTTAAACAATTTTGTTTCACAAATCCATTATATTATAATGAAAATTGTAAAAAAAGTATCGAGATTTGAAGAAATCGCATAAGTGACAACGATCAAATTAAAAATGAAAAAAGATATTCGAGACTCTCCAATGTCTGTATCTTTTTTAAATTTCCAAATTATTGGTATTTGATCAGAATAAAAATCTTTTTTTTAAAACAAAATCGATGTAACTTTATTTTCGTTGATTGTATTCTATTATTATCCCGTTATTTAAGAATAAAATAAAAAATATATTTATAAAGTATGTATTAAAAATATTAAAAAAAAAATATATATATAAGAATTACAATTAGTTCAAACATATTTTTAGCAAATCGAAGGTTGAAAAAATATGTAAAGAGATTTTACATGGCTCTACTTCGTCCTCTCGCTCGGAAGGAGGATAAAATAAGGAAAACCTAGCAGAGCGTACTATACCAAGGACACTATTTTTATTATGGTTATGCTAACAAGAGCGATAAAGAGGTATTCGGTTTTTTCCTCCATCGAGATATTTTCCAAAGTAATTTAAACAGTCGCGATGTAGGGATGTGATAAAATATATATAAAGGTCACATCCATCACGGATAAATCTTCTTCGATACAATTTCGCGAGAGAAAATTGTTATGCAAAGAAGTGTTTCTGTTCTCTAGACGCGGAATCAAAAACAATTTCGGTGAGTATAATTAATTATATTACGAAAAAGTGCAATAACCGATGCCGAACCGAGCAGCATTTAAATTTAATTTGTCAATTTTTGACAATCAGAATATATTCCAATATATTTATAATATAGATATAAATTTCGAATAAATATTGTCGATTTGAAACATTAAATAATGCGTCATTTGCCATTTGTTGTATTACAAAAAAATTTTATGGAAAAAATTCTTATATATTTCAATGTTAATTATTATTGAATTCAATTCACGGCTTGTTTAGTATTTATATTTATACGTATCGCGTGAATTCCGTTATATTTAGTATCTTCAAGAATTATCTTTAAAAAATACTATTTTTAAAAATATTCGAAGTCGAACGTATGTATGTCTAAGAGAACAGAAAGACATTCGCATATATTTATGACTATTAAGAGAAACTTTTTTAAATTTTAACAATTTTTATTAATCCAATTATCCAATATTTTTGTTATTAATTTTTCAACTATTTCAATCTATTCCAATTTTTCAACGCGATTTTTGTTACGTTTATTGAACACTTGTTTTGTAATCTACGTTCAATGTTTGGTAACGTATTTAATAAAAGAATTCATTTTGCAAGAATAAAAATATAAGTTAATATTTCTTGTTAAAGTAAGAAAAGATTCTTTTTGTGAAATATTTAACTTCATAAATATAAAGTAGCAAATAGGAGCCAAATATTAAATGCGAAAATTCATCGATGGTTGTGTTTCAAAATTTACTGCCGGTACTAAAAATCTATAGTTTACGTTACATGCACTGTAGATTTTGAGTACTGACAATAAATTTTGAAGCCAACGCGAACGAAGCAACGAGCGCGGAAAGCGTAGAAGGACACGCTTGAATTTGGCGCGGAAGTCCATCATCGTTTCCGCTTCCGTAGTGGTGCTCATCGGCGCCTTCCGGCTCCGGTGGAACGCGCGTGACTTCGCGCGATTCGCAACCAAAGTAACCGGAGTGACCAGCTGCGCAACTCACTTCAGATGCCTCCAAGCTGTGATACGGGACGGACGTGCGTGCGTTTATTGCGCCGAGTTGTGGTCGCGCGAGACTCGCGGTATCGTGTTTTTTCCTCTCTTCCTTCTACGTGAAAAGGGTCAGGTAGCTACAGTGAGAGAAGGTTCGCGAAATTTAACGGTTGATCATCGAATAAGCTCGCACCGAGCGATATTCTCATCGCCGTCAGTCCTCCGCCGTCGGTTCCCGTTTCTTTTCCATGCGTCGTCCGAGCACGCGGTCGAGCACGCGCCGATCCGAGATGCGCTACCAGGTATTTATGTAGTACCGACCATCGCCGCCTTCGAGCATCGTACACCCGCCACCCTCGGCGTCCCCCATCACATCAGAGGCCGAAACGGAGGAAACAACCCCCCCCCCTCCCTCCCCCAGCATCCCCGAGGAAGGCAACGTCGTTGTCGTCGTCGAGCAGCGAGGGTGAGAAGGTGTGAGAGAGGAGCAAGTGAAGAAGGAGTGATTCCGATCGGAAACGGAAGTGGAATCGCTGCGACGGCGATGGATCAGAAACGCGTGTACAAGTTAGTGCTAACTGGAGGTACGTAACAGGGGTACAATCGCGTTTATCCTCCTTTCGCTCCCCTTTCGCGCGTACAAAGCTGCTCCTCCGAGCTGGAGTAGATTAAGCGCGAATTGATTCCCCATTCTGGACTTCGCCAACGAATCTCGCTGATCGGGAAACCGGAGCGAGAGCGAGTCTGCAAGAGTAAAAGCATGTGATGCGAAGTGTCTCCCATTGATTTTTTTTCTTAGAATTTGTATATTTTGTGTGCTCCGCGATAGACATATGCCCGCATTCATAGTCAGACCTTGTATTTAAAGCTTCCTTAAATTTATCTTTAGATGCTCAGCAGCCAATAAAATAATTCGTAGAGTAGCTGAAGATAAATTTAAGGCTAAGGAAGACTTAAATATATAAGATCTGACTATGAATACGAATAATAAAGTCTGTTTTTTTTTCCTACATGGGAACCCTTTTTTTCCTCCCTGCAGTCAAATATCGAAAATCTATTTCACTTTAAGTTCTAAAAGTGTATTCTAGTTCAGGTATTAAAAAACAGACCTGATACGTTGTAGATAGAGAGTTTTTGTCAAGCAATTTTAGAAATATTTTGCGATAAAGTATAATATGAGAATTATGGAAAACAACGATACCACATACCTTGGTCTACTTTACCTCAGTTTATTTTAAACTTCCTCAGGTACATAAGCTAATATTTGTTTCCACCAATATAGTTTAACTTTAATTTTGGTTTTATTTTCTATCTTTTTCTTGTTATATAAGAAAAAAATTAGAAAAAAATACACGAAGTTAACTGAGATTAATTTACATTGATAGAAAGGAACATAATGCCGGTTTTTATTCGTTTCACATTTCGATTGATTTATTGATTTTCACATGAAAACTTCCGGCTTTATTATTTTATAATACATTTATCTTACAATTATTCGGAATCTAATATTTCTAATCGTAGATACACGCAAAGAAGCATTTTACTTACGTTATATTTACGTCATAATTAAGAATCGTTCTTCCGGGTGAAATCTCGAAGTTCAACAAAGTCAGAAGAAACTGATATTAATCGAGCGACAAAATAAAATATAATAAAAAATCCGGAAAGAGATACGACTAAAAAAAAAAAAAGAGAATTATAGGTTTACAACGAAGCACGTGTTTCACTTAAAGAACATTCCAGAGCTGTTTTCTCATCTAATTCTTCAGATAGTTTTCGCTTTCAAACCTGAAGCACTGGCATGTGTTATTTTTTTCCTCTTTTATAAATCTCTTACTCCGAGGACGATCACTGGTGATTACTCGTCTCATAATTTCGTGCAACGCGAGAATAGAACATTGACGGACATGAGAATAAAATACGCGCGTGAGAAGTTTTTCTTTCACGCGAGCGGAATTTTTACGGAGAAACATTTTTTCCCGACCGGCGTGACGAGCGCACGTGATGTGGATCGCTCATGTTTCTCTTGATCTTGGATCAAGAAATGAGCAAAGTCCATGATCGAGAAAAAGAAGAGGAAGCATGTTAATTGTTAGCAGGAAAGCGTGAATTTTTTGCCCATATAGAGTTAGATCGCATGTCAATAAAATTGAGATATAATTCAATATAATTTTCGTAATAATTGAATTTTGGTGGAATCAAGTTTTGGCACTTTTCCAAGTAGTTTTAGCATTCCCTGCAGACAAGTTTTAAAAAAGATTCTGGCGATGAGGTACAAAGAAACAGAAAAATCTGAAAATATATCAAGAAAAAAATGTTTTTAGTATTTGTGACTATAATTGCCTCAATATGATAATATAATTAGGAGCTCCATTTTTATAATTATTATTATTATAACATTATAGTACTGGAATAATAATAAATTACTACTAATAATAGCAATAATGATAAATTAATAATAATAATTATTATAAAAGTGCTATAATTGGTAATAGTAATATTTATAGTTAATAATTAAACAGTAGATAATAATATTTCTAGTTTTACTATAAATATACTTACATTTTAAAACAACAGATACAAATGATGTAAAGTAACACAGGGAAACATTATATTCTTGTTGTTTGCCAATTTTAAACAAGATGAAATGGTCACTATGTTACATTGTGTCTTTTGCTGGAAAGCAAATTTATAGTTGGCACCAAATTTATAGTTGGCACCGAAAATAATTATAAAATATAGTTATTTTATGGTATTTTATGGTAAACAAAAAAATTTTTTCTCAGTGTATATAATGCTTTTACTCGTTATGAAATTTTAATTTAAGATCGAAGTTTCTGTATTTTTCTAGAAGAAACATACACAGAATAAGATATCAGAATAAGGAATTCTTGAAAATCTTCATGGAAAGAAAGAAACTCTGAATTAGGAAAAATTTTTGTATACAACGAAAACAAAGGAAATATCTCAACCTTTTCGCTGTCTCTTGAAAGATTTGTTTTTGAAATACATTGAAAGCTTACGGGAAAAGCATAAAAATAAAATATTTATACCGTGAAAGGAATATAGCAACGGTGACTATATATCCTTTATTAAAAGACAGTCCTTTATTTCATGTAGTTGTCCTTTCCTAATGTTTCCAACTCAGTAGAATTTCTATCAGATTTGAAGTTTCCTTTTTTGGGAGATTTTTTTGGGGATACAAAAAAGAGAATTTTCAAGTGACTTTTTGAGAGGAATATACAAAAAAACTCCAAATTACAGCTAAAATATTGAGAAAGTCATAATATAAAGAATAACTTTGAACAAACTTAGTAACACTGAATTGTCCTTAAGATTTATTAATTTTTTTCAAAATTCAATTTTGTCCTTTATTTTAATAAACCCATAGGAAATTTCTTTCTAATTAGCATTCTAATGTCTAATATCGCACTAATGAGCGAATATTTACGGAAACAACTGACAAATTTAATTTTATGAGTAATATTAGCCCAAGCAGAACAACAAAATCAGTAACAAAATAAATTGTGATTGATTGAAAAGTGACTTTTAATAATCAAATTTGCAACTATTTTGATATTATAATGATTTGTATTTTACTTGGGAGTTATTTATTTCAAATAGAAATACGCAAGAAAACTTCAGAACTGTCGTTTGGAAATATTTAGAAATAAAGTCTTAATATTTTTAGATTTATCCTTTATTTTCTTTAAAAAATTATTACTGTAAATATAGATAATATCCCTGGTGAATATTTGTCTTATAATTTTTATATAAATTTTAAATAAATTGGAATATTTTTCAAAAATACTAGAAATATTCGGAAAGTTTAATCTTCTCTCAGAATTTTTTATATTCTGAAATATTAGGTGTAGTAAAAACAAATCCATTATTTTTCCATTCAATTTCATGCAAAAATAATTTCTTTTTACTACACCTAATATTCTGAGATTTCTCATCCCATAATTTTTAAAAAATATTTTTTAATTTTTTAGATTTTATAACATTTCATCAGAAATTATATTTATAAAAAATCTTAAAAATCTTACGATATTTCATAATTAACATATGAAAAATTTTAAGAAGAAATGTAAATTTTTTGAGAAGTGTTCCAATTGTACAAAAAAATGTAAGAAAGTTATAAAATTATATAGAAATTTTGAAAAATCTTGAGAAAAATTTTCATCACACTGAAAAAAAAGTCAATTTTAATAAATATTTAGTTGAATACTGCCAACTAAATATTTATTAAATATAAAGATATATTTATTTAATACAAGAAATGTTAATTTGATTTAACTTTTTTTTGATTTAACATTTTTTTTATTGAACAAATATTTACTTACTGTAAGTAAATGTTTAGTTGGCAGTATTGAAGTAAATATTTATTAAAATTAACTATATTTTTTCTCAGTGCAGGGATCGTAAATTCCGTTAGATCGAAAATTTTGCAAAGGAGATACCAACTCAGTTCATCTCGCCATTCGTGCTGCTGTAACACCGCGCCGCACTGTCTCTTACTATTCCCCTTGCAACGTTTTGCAACGTTCGTTATCGTAGCCACACGCGGATGTCGATCGATTCCACGCGCCACGCAGGGACACGCGGTCACAACTGTACCGGGTGACCTGAGAGAAGAGTCCCGCCGAGAACGAAGCTCCGTCCGCATAAATTTTAATCCATTGTACGGACAAAAAAAACTTTATACTTTATTCTATTCATGTACTTTTTTACATTATTTAATCGCAATCCGTATTGTTCATTGTGCTGCATTATGATTAAAGGCTAACTTTACTCTTATTACGTTACAAAAGTAAGTTGCGATTTCAATTTAAGTCGAAAATCCTACACCTTTCGACAGAATAAAATATCGCTCGAAGTTCTTGAAAGAAAACACTTTGCTTGAAAGAAAGGAACTCTGGATTAAGGCAGAAAGAATTTCATACAACAGAAATATAAAGGAGGCATACGTCGACTCAGATTGTATTACTCATTGTTTACTGGCGATAGCCAATGTTGAATGTGAAACAGATCTGCATCTCATATTGAAACCAATTGCACGCTTTTCAGACATCTCTTAGACATCCGCGTTACATGAATCAGACGGTTATTTTTCCTCAACGTCGATATTTCTTATGTTTATCATATATCAGTAGATAAAAGCGGGAAATTACTCAAATGCACAGATAATGCAAACGACATAACAGATAGCCTTGTTGATAATTCGTTTTTATCGTTGACGACGTTATCTTTTGTTGAACAACGGATATTTATATCACAGATTCAAAACGTAAAATTTAACAAAATTTAAATAAATTTTGAAATTTTTATGAAATCTAGAACTTGAGTTGCTTGGTATGAATAAGGTATAATAAAGAAACCTTGAAAAGAACTTTTCTATGTCCTCCTTTTTATTTCGCCAGAAATTCAAGGTTTATATGCTCACAATGGGTGGCAACAATGTATTCGAATAATGGAAGATAAGATACGAAAAGTATAAGAAAGGTTAAACATGTAAATAATTACATCTCAAATTAGAAACTAGTTTATTTAAGGTTTCTGAGTAATCATCATAGCAGTATTGAATCGTGATATCATAAGCGAGAAATGACATGTTAATTTTTATTACGTGTCATTTATAAATAAAGATAATTTTTTTTTTTAAACAAAATGATGAAATTGCTTTAAAACATTTGTAAAAATTTGTAGAAGAAAATTATATTTATCCTCTCTGACAGTCAATAAATAATCGTAAAATATGATAAAAGATACATGAAGTTTATTTAATGCACATACATAGCTTATTTTCACTTACACGTGCCTTTTACACTTTTTACGATTATTTGCTGACTGTTAGGAGAGTTAGTTTTCGTCCATTTTTACAAATGTTTTGAAGCAATCTTATTTCACAAATTATTTTGTTTTATTCAAATGTCTTTATTTATAAATGGCACATAATAAAAGTTAACGTATCATTTTTCGCTTCTGACTTTACTGTACAATATAACTACAATATAACTATAATGACTCAGGAGTTTTAAGCATCAACAACAAAGAAAATAAAACTAATTTTTCAAACCATTAGACAACATACGGACGTTTCTATTTCACTTAGTCATCCTCAGCCAAATTAAAAAATTATAACAAAAAGAAAGAAGATAAGAAATTCTTAATTTCTTTCTATTATAATTTTTTAACTTATCTGAAGATGACTGAGCGAAATCGCAAACTTCCGTATGTTGTTTTTAATGGTTTGAAAAATTAGTTTTTATTTCTTGATTATTGCCGCTTAAACTAGTTTTTAATTTGTGATCTAATCATATGCTCGTGTTTGACCTTTTCCGTACTTTCATTGCTTTGCAATTCCGATCTAGACGAAATAAGATATTCTTTATCTTCTTTATCTTCTTGAACACTAATCTTAATTTAAACTCATATAATTTGAATGAGATTTCTTACGAAACTCAATGAGTTTTGTAATGAAAGCAGAAAAAAAATTATAGTAAAAAGAAATTTTATTGGAGGGGAATAATTTTTTTCAAAAGTAATCTTAAATTTTTCATTGTTTTTCTATCACTGAAGGGAAATAATTTGGTTGCATTTTTTATGAGAAGAGTGTGGAGAATCAAGGAATTCTGTTCTGTATAGTTTTGGGGTAAGAGTAACATTAAATTAGACTGAGTATCAGGATATGTTTTATAAAATAGCGGAACATTTTTTTTAACTTAGCAAGCAATAAATAAAAATATTAATTTGAATTGATCCTCTTCACTTTATTTTGCTAACTTATATAGATATGACATAATATTAGATTGGATGTTAAGATATAATCAGAGAATCAATTCATCATTATTGTATATTTTAAAATGAGATGAAAATTACAAAAAAGTAAACAAATTCATTTGGCCAATTAAATTATGAATATTCTAGTGTATTTGCTCACTTTTATAATTTTCACCTTATTTTGTGATACAATCAGCCTTCAGAGAGAAGAAGTCTTGGAAAAGTTCTGGAGTTTTTTTGACGCATGATTTATTTTGGGATTGAATCGTGGTGAGCTCAAATTCATCATCCCGATGTATAATAAGCATGATGCATAACGTCGCGACGACTTAATAGCCATGCTGGCGCACGCCAATTAAATTCAATTTGACTTTTATTGGCGTCTGCCTTTTCATATCCTCATCGTTTATTTTATGTAACGAAAAAGACGAAAAAAGAGATAGTAATATCATAAAGCATAACAATCCGAACATATCGATCTCAATTCTTGATCTCACGCAAATTTTTTTCAAAAATTTCAGCGCAAATTTGTCTAACACATATTTGCTATTGCAGGACCATGTGGTGGCAAAACAACTGGACAGACCAGGCTGTGCACCTTCTTCGAGAATATGGGCTGGAAGGTAGGTAAAACCCTTTTTAAAAACAAAAAGTTTCCGCAAAAAAGAAAGAAAGGAGAAAAGAAAACAGAGATCTCCGTTACGAATTTTTCCCCCAATTGATTTTTCGCTTTTTTTCTCCGAGTGATACTCGCTCTATTCCACATTAGATTCAATTCGACAGATGCCGTACACTAGGGTTATTCGTTATTGATGGAATAGTCGAGCAGGGGATAATCATTCTGTGTAGAGTCTAGCGTGTATTTGCAGAAATCGTTCGATTGTCGCGTGCAGTACAATAATATTCGAGTCAAGGATAACACATTACGGCATAATCGAGCCACATTTTTTCCATAGCTCGTCTCTCTGGAGCGAGATTTTACCTTGCCTTAAGTCGTACAGCGAATCGTAACTGCGTGTAGAGGTCGATTTTTAAATATCAACTCGTCGAGCTTTGCGGAATGCATACTTTTGATCGATTTAAAGTCGAGTCTTTCTTAAAGAAAAAGAAAGAAAAAGGAATGTTACAACAATGATCTTTAAATTATTCTAAAAACTTTTAAATAAATTATAAGGTTATGAATCAATTTCTCGCAAACTGAATTTCGAGTAAAAAAAAAAAGAACTTTTGAAAAGAGACGAAAACGCGATCTAGTTTCGGGGGCTCTTACCCTTCGTTTTGGATTCGATAGAGCGGTGGTTGTCTTCTTTTTCAGGTGTTCCGTGTCCCCGAGACAGCGACCGTGCTGCTCAGGTATGCAATTATACGATCACAAGTTTACAAAAAAAAAGCGAGAGACAAAGAGAAAGAAAGAAATTGGAATGAGAGTCACTCTTGGACGATTACGGTTTTCTTTCGAATTAACCCTGGAATGCCCTTATAATGAAGTATCTCAAGGATTGAAAGAGATGGAGAGATAATCTGGGAAGATTAAAATTGGACATTGCAAAAAAGTAATCTAAAATTAATTTAAAAATTTATCAAAATTACAGAGAATATGAACGAAGATATGGAATGAAAGTCTCACAAACCTCTGTGTACTTGATTTTTTTACGCATTGCAGGGTTAAAAGGACTTTTTGAAGATTGAAATAAAGCCGTTCGCCCTCTCGCTCTCGTTCAGTCAAGTATCGTGAAGAAAAATTCGTGGAACAAGCTCCGAAGAGTAAATTTTAAGTGAGCAAAATAATTTGCGTCTGCATCTCGAAAAGCTATACGCAAAAACTTTCAAGATTACTCGACAGGAGTTTCTAGAAAACTTACTATAATATTTGCACGTTGATTCTATTTCGCGAGAAATAGCACTGTGGTGTAGAGAGACGTTTAGAGGCGATTTCAGATAGTATCCATGTATAATGACGAACTCCTTCAATTGCTGCTTGTAGTTGCAGCTGCGAGATATATATTTAAGACTGTTCTAAACGTCACAATTGCGTTGCAAACGTTTGATTAAACTCAATTAATAAACGCTCGCGTTGCAGTGTGTATCTAGGCAATTGTCTCATATCTGCTGTCTGCTTTCTTTCCATTTCAGTGGCGGCATCAAGTTTTCAGACCTGAACGCGGAGGAGGGTAAGTCTACTGATTATATCACTTTTACACCCCTCTCCCCCCCCCCCCCC